CATTGTTGCAAATAATGGTCAAGACAGGTAACACAGTATAAATATTCAGACTCATGATACATGCTGGTACACGAACTTGCTTATTTGGCATTGTGTTTAAATGGGCAGTATTTTGAGTTGCATTCCAGTGATAATCTTCCTTCTACACCATTGCAGGCCCACCTCCAATTTGCAGAGATGGTACTGCAAAGGCCCAAGTGCTAGCATAAGAGTCTGGGAGGGTGATAACCCACCAAGAGCCCACTTCATAGTGTTACTGGAACAAATCACCATGTAATCAGAGTGATTAAATTGTATTTTATTGAATCCCCATTCCAAACCCCATCTTATCCATTCACCAATTTATTTTGTGGTCCCTAATCTACCAGTTCTCTTTCAGCTGTATATATATTTTGGTTTTTTTTGAGACAAGATTTCTCTGTGTAACAGCCCTGACCGTTTTATAGATCAGAATGTCCTCAAATTCACAGAGATCTTCCTGTCTCTGCCTCCTGAGTGCTGGGATTAAAGACATGCACCACCACTGCTTGGTCTGTGGTTGGACTTTCTTGTCAGACTTTCTTTGGACCACCAGCTCCCAAATAATGACTCAGAGACTTATTATTATGAAAGGTTGCCCTTGACTTGTTCCCAACTAGCTCTTATAACTTAACCTGTTTCTATTAGTCCGTGTTCTGCCCTGTGGTTCTTTACATCTCCTCCATTCTGTACATCTGACTCCCTCCGTGTCTCACTGGTGTCTCCTGTATGCCTAGATTCTAACCCTGAGTTCCCCTCTCTCCCTGGAAGTCCTGCCTCTTCTCCCCCTGCTTAGCTACTGGCCATTCAGTTCTTTGCTAAACTAATCAGAATAAAACAGCAACACATTTTCACATAGGGTGATCAAATATCCAGCAACAATGGAGACCACCACAAATAAATGTTTGTAGGGGAAGGGGGCCGGCTCAGCTCTCTTAACTCCTGTCCATCGTCAAGCATCTTTTGCACTCGACTCCAGGCCAGGGCCACAGACCTGAGCTGAAGGCATGCATGGCCTACGCTTTACTGCACCAGAGCTGACATTTTTTCCTTTCCTGGAATCAAAACACGGTTATTCTCATGAATAGAAGAGGCAAAGTCAGTAAGAGTTGTAAGAACCGCAAATGATTCAGTTTGATGCCCGGAGTAATTAGTTTGATGTTGTTAATGTCTGCCTTGGGACCAATAAGCCGCTTTACCTAGGGGGACCATCAGTAAAAAGTTTGAGGGCATCAAGCAGAGGGTAAGATGACACAGTGGTAGGAAGAGCAAAAGAGGTGCATTATGGGAACTGTAGAACCTTATCACTGGGGTAATATGAGGCCTTCTGTTTGCTATTGGAGGCCAAAAGTATATAAAGAAGTAACGTGGGCAGCTTCACAAGGACAATAAAACTTGGCATCCTCCTAATTACTGAGCTGATTACTTATGGGCTAACTGACCTTTGGAGCTGAGACGGCAAATGCATCCATTCTGTGTTTGCCAAGGACGGGAATAAACTGAGCCAGAGTGACTGTGGGAAGTAAAGCTATATCTAAAACAAATGAAGAAGAAGGCAGGCTGCAGTCAGCTTCTATGATTGAGATGTTGCTGCTCTGTTCAGATTTGAGGTTTTGTGGGCCTCCTTTTGGGAGCACGGGCGCGTCACCTTCGAGGATGCTGTGGACATGCGGAACAACGGTCTAATCCAATTAACATTGCCTAATAGTTTTTGAAAGTCATTAAGTGTCTGAAGGGAGCGCTCCTGTAATAGTCCCTTTTGGAAATGGATAGTATGAGAATCAACAATAAAGTCTAAAAACCAAAAGGATCGAGATTGTTGAATTTTTTTTTTGAGAGTTTTTAAGACAACTAAGTCAAGGATACCAATAGCAGATTTAAACCTTTTTTTTTTTTTTTTAAGTAGCGATTTTTGCCTTGTAGGTGAAAAGTATGTCGTCTGTATTATGAATAGCACAAGACTGGGTAATTTTGCTGCGTAGGAGTGAACACACCGGCAGCAAACTGCTGGCACACGGGACTGCGCGCGACACCCTGCGGGAGGAAATCCCAGTGGTAAAGCTGGGTAGGTTCCTTATGGTGAAGGATGGAAACTAAAAAGCAAACTTTGGTTTATCCTGCTAGGTTTAAGGAATAGCAAAAGCAAAAAACAAATCAAGCCAAACCAGACCATCTTTAAGCCTCTGGCAATAAGAGTGTGATCTGTGGGAACGGCAGGGAGTGAGGCAAAGGCCCCATGGGAGGCCCCACTTTATTCCCAGCGAGTAAGCTTGCAGCCGGGGCCATCTCCCTGGCTTTGCGTGGTGTGGTGATCACAGGCGCGCTGTAAGGCCTGCTGGAGGACTCTGTACTCAGCTTCTGGTTGAGGTCCTAGCAACCTGACTCGTTCTAGTTTTCACCATGTGCTCTGAGCCACTGCGCCAATCTCTTTAGTCTCCAGAAATCCCCTAAAAACCTTTAAAAAAATTAGTTACCTGTTTTTTTTTTTTTTTTTTTAAGACGGTGTCTCACTATTGCTGTCTTTGATCTGTAGACCAGGTTGGCCGTGAGCTCACAGAGATCTGTCTGCCTCTGCTTTCTGAGTGCCAGGAGTACAGGTGTGCACCGGCCATGCCTGGCCACCTAAAATCTGAAGGCTCAGAAGTAACAGCTGCTAAAGTCTTGGTGTAACTATCTAGATTTTCCATATTTGAGGTTGCCATTTCTTCTTTTTCTTCTCCTCTTCCTTCTCCTTCTTCTTGTCAGAAATAATGCATCATTCTCAGTAAGATTAGCCTTAAAGGAAAACAAACTTGGAGGGTTGAAGGGATTTCCTGGACATTAGAGACCTCCGGCTTCTGAGGTTGAGTCATGGAGCGGGAATTGGGGCCACGGCGTATTGTCAGTACCCTGAACAAGACCGAGACAGAGGTTTCCTGGGGATTGCCCATAATGCTTTCAAGTCCCATGCACTTCTGGCCTAGGACTCTGTCAAAAGTCCATGTGGTACCCAGGGTGCTAGTTTCAGAACCTCTGTCCCCACACAACAGATGCACTCAGACTGGGCGGGGGCATATTCGTATTCCTCTGCATGCTCGGGGCTGCCTGGGAACATCCTACTGCTGTACAGAGGTGTCCTTGGACTCGAAGGGAGCTAATTTCCCTGGGGTTATGTTAGCATGCCCAAGAATAAATCTGGACCCCCGCAGGGTCTCTGTAAGTGTTATAGCTCTGAGGGGAAAGGTGTCCTGACATTCAGGAGGCAAGGAATCCCACAAAGTCACAATGTACAACAAACTTCACACAAGATTTATTGGGAAAAACCAAGAGGGTGGCTGCCTCTGCTTGGGCAAGAAGCAGCAGAGAACTGAGCCGGAGGCAGGCTTTATATAGGGCTTCTTGGTGGGGTGGGTCAGAGCTTTCCAGGGTAGCCTGGGATTGGTGGGATTCTGTGGCCTGATGCTGAGGCAAATTCAGGGATTGGTGGAATTCTGTGTCTGATCTTGGACTTTTATTCTGTAGGGTAGAAGTTGGCTGCTTGCTGCTGAAGGGGCTAGCAGCCACTCCACAGGACTCGGGAGGCTAACTCCTGCTGTCAGAGCAATCTTGGGGTGATGCCTGGTCACTCACACCATGAGGGGCTTACAGTGTCACTATGCACCCCTTGTTGTTCTGGAACTGGCCGTGCAGACCAGTCTGGCCTTAAACTTGTATTGATCCTTCTGTTTCTGATTTATAGGAGCTGGGATTGTAGGTCTGCATCACCACATTCAGCTCTGGACCCTGGTTTGTGTGTGTGTGTGTGTGTGTGTGTGTGTGTGTGTGTGTGTGTACACATGTGTGTGCAGGTGCAAGGGCTTGTGTGTGTGTACACACGTGCGTGTGCAAGTGCGTGTGCTTATGTGTGTGTGGGTGCATGTGCTTATGTGTGTGTATACACATGTGTGCAGGTGCTCATGTGTGTGCAGGTAACTAGTGGTGTTGGCTTCTACTAGTGCTTATTTTGAGATGGGATCTCTCTTACTGAACCTAGGTATTCTGGTTCATTTTATGTCAACTTGACACAAGCTAGAGTAATCTGAGAGGAGGGAGCCTCAATCGAGAAAATGCCTCCCTAAGTTCCCACTGTCGGCAAGCCTGTAGAGTATTTTCTTAACTAGCGATTGATGGGGGAGAGTCCGGCCCATTGTGAGTGGTGTTACTCCTGGGCAGGTGGTCCTGGGTTCTATAAGAAAGCAGGCTGAACAAGCCATGTGGAGGAAGCCAATAGACAGCACCCCTCCGTGTCTGCCGTATCGGCTGCTTCCTGTCCTGACTTCCTTCAGTGATGAACAGTGATGTGGAAGTGTCAGCCAGCAGACCCTTCCTCCCCGAGTTTCCTTGGTCCTGGTGTTTCTTCCCTGCAGTACTAACCCTGACTCAGACCCTGGGGCTGTCCATCTCAGCTAGACTGGCTTGCCAGGAAACTCTGGGGGAGCCTCCTGTCGCTGCCCCACAACGCTGGTTACAGGCGTGTGTCACTATACCCCAACTCTCTCATGGATGCTAGGGGTCTCAACTCTGGTCTCAAGCTTGCCAAGTGAGCAGCTTGCCAGTGAGGCCATCTCTGTGCCCCTTTTCTTTTCTTTTTTCCTGGCCATGACACTTCTAAAGGTCTTTATGTTTATGGTGGAGAAGAGACCCAGGGGGAACCAAGAGGTGAAGAGGGGTCTGAGCTGTACCGGGTAAAGACAGCTGGCCTGAAGATGTGTGCGCTCAAACTGATGAAGCTGAGTTCCCAGCACTTGTTTTTTGTTTTGTTTTGTTTTTTAGAGCAATTTGACTAACACCACTTCTTTTCGTTCATCTGCTCTGGTTCCCCCTCTCTGGTATTGAGTACAGCGATGTGGGCCCCAATAATTAGAGATTCTCTGGGTATTTGAACTCAAATTCCCATGAAGCAGTCAGTGGACACCACCTCATCCCGCTCGTGTTCAAGAATGAAGAAAGCGCACAGCAAAGTGTACAAGCCAGAGGCACTTTATTATCGATTCGGAATTAACAACCCTCAAGGGGATAGAGCTACTTAAAACTGATTGCCACATCGGTCTAAACTGAAACAGGGTTGAGTGCTCATAGTAGCTGGAGACTAGCCAAGACATGCTGTGCTGTAGCAGCACAACCCTCGGGAAGCCTTACAGCGCAAGAGCTCCCAAAGGACTCTGAGGTGCCAACCAAGAGCAATCCTTCCTGCAGTAAGTCCACAAGTTACCCATGGGGATGGCAGAAGCAGGGGGCTAGAAGCAGAGGCGGGAATGAACTCCCTTCCGCAGGTCAACTGGCAGAGGAGGCAGAGGCAGAGGCAGGAATGCCTCCCTTGGAGGCAGAGGCAGGAATGAGCTCCCCAGCCTGAAGCTACTGGCAAAGTCTTGGAGACTGGCTTGAGGGAGCTTCCTGCCTGGGAAGAAGCCTCGGAAGAGTCTGTCCCCAGTGAGTCTTGTTTTCCTCTGCTGAGTGAGTCAGCTAGGAGCTGGATTCTGACGTCTTCAGCCTTCTTTGCTGAAGAGAACAGGAGCATGTTAAACCAGGCTCCTGTGCCCTGAGATTTGCTTTCCCCCCATAGTAGCTCCTTCTCTGTAGTCCTAGAATGTTGGAATTTAGGAAGGTGTCAGCGTGTCAGTTGAGCCCTGATTGGCTCATTGTGGGTATGCAGATGAGATGAAGAAATTGGGCCAATCAGAAAAGAGCTATCAAACGTTGTCAGGGGAAGAAGAACCCTGAGCCTACCAAAAGCTGCTACAAGTTCACATAGGTTCACCAGTTTCTGCAGAGGTGGGGAAACTTGTAGGATATGTTTGGTCGAGCTTTATCATGCAGCCTATTGGGCTTTATCCCACCACAGAGACACTTGCACAACCATGCTCATTGCTGCTCTATTCATAATAGTCAGAAATTGAAAACAACCTAGACGTTCTTCAACAAAAAAATGGATTAAGAAAATGTGATACATTTACACAGTGTAGTATTGGTTAGCTGTAACCTCCCACACCCCCCAAAAAGGCATTAGGAGATTCACAGTCAAGTGGATGGAACATGAAAGAAAATCATACAGCGTGAGGTAACCCAGATCAATCAAGACAAATATGGTATATACTCATTTGATGTAGGAGGGTCTTCTATCTATCTGTTGCTTTCATTGGTTAATTAATAAAGAAACCTGCTTGGCCTGATAGGTCAGAACATAGGTAGGCAGGGAAGACAGAACAGAATTGTGGGAGAAAGAAAGCAGAGGCAGGCAGACACCATGAAGCTCCAGCCCAAGATGGACATAGGTTGGAATCTTCCTGGTAAGCCACCACCTCGTGGTGCTACACACATTAATAGAAATGGGTTAATCAAGATGTGAGAGTTAGCCAGTAAGAGGCTAGAGCTAATGGGCCAGGTAGTGTTTAAATGAATACAATTTGTGTGTTGTTATTTCGGGTGTAAAGCTAGCCGTGCGGGAGCCGTGCGGGACGAAAAGTAGGCCTGCTTGCCTCATCACTACACTCATTTATTTATGGATATTAGCTGTTAAGTCAAGGATAACCAAGCTACAGTTCCCAGAATCACAGAGGGTAGATACAGACAGAGTAAGGGACTAGAAGGTACAGATAGATCTCTTTAGGAAGCGGAAATAGGAAAGTAGATTTGGATGGATGGGGATGAGGAGCTGGAGGGGGAAGATCAAGTGGGGAGGGAGGGGGAGAAAGGAATAAGGGTGAGAATACAGGGAGAAACAACTGAAATCAAGAGCCATGAGGGGAGCGTGGAAACCAAATAGCACAGAAGCTTCCTGAAATATATACATATATGAAAGTGATCTAAATGAAATCGCCAAATAATGGGTGAGACAGAGTCCCAGTTGGACATCTTATCACCAAATGAAGCTTCCAGAACCAGTATTGGGTTACATCTAACTGAGTTGTTGGCCAAAGGGGTCCCATGGGAATTGCCAAACAACCCAGCCTGTTGCCAAGACTCCAGGCTACTCCCCATAAGCTGATAGTAAGGGTCATTGCTGAAGACAACACCTCCGCAGCTCACTGAACATGGAGAAGTTGGGCTGGTGTTGCCACAGAGCCTTCACTCCTATGTTCCGGTGTCTTTGGGACAGGAAGGCACTCTGAGGATTGTTGCTGCTGTCCCAGGGATCAAGGGCTCACTTTTCTGAGGGGGGCAGTAGAAGTGGAGGTACCGCTAAAACCCCGGTTTCTCATCGCCAGGACCTCTTGTCATGCGGCCCCGACTCCTGTCTCCTGCGGAGGGACTCTCTTCTTTTCTGGATTTCCTTCACCACCCTTTACACTAGACAAGGCTTTTCCAGTATGCATCTGTCTGATTTGTGTCGTCTTAATGATGTTGAGTGACATGTGAGGACAGGTGCAGGAGGGAGAAACATTCCTGGCTAGGGGAATTAGGGCAGGAAGCGGTATCTGAATTCAATGCTGGGTGATCTCTAAGCTTTAGACACTGGGGCAGCCTGAGGAGGACCTGAATGTCAAACATACACCAGAACAACCAAGGGACCCAGAAGCTCAGGGTTTAGAGAAAACTGCCTGGGTAGGTAGCATCCTCACACATGGACCTGCAGGTCACTTCCTGGGATAGTGGTTTTAGAGTCTGATGATGTCGAATGACTCTCTTAGAATGTTCTACCCCCACCCCCTGCCATGTCTAGGTTGGAGTGCGCTGCTAACATGGTGCTAGAGACTGAACCAGAGCTGGGTCTGTGGAGTTCCTAGACTCTAGGAGGCACTTTCCTGAAACTTTCTCTGTCCTTGCAGCAGACGTCGGGTCAGCATCAGGATCCAGGTGGGACCTGGGCCTTACTACTCTCTTGTGCTGTTCTCTGACATCTGTTTGAGGGTTAGGGTGAGCTCCTACCTCTGGTTTAGTCTGTACTTCCAGGAAGACAGCTAGTGGGTAGATTGCTCCCACCAGTGAGTGTATTTCTCTTGTGGGATCACACGAGTTGGGATTACCCTAGGTTCCAGGCTCTGGGATATAAACGGTCTACTGAAAACACTTAGACTTGACTGCATGTCCATGTGTCGGCTCTCACCCACTGGTGCTGCCACCAGACACGCTCACCTGCAGCATCTGAGAGCGACTGGAGAGGCAGCATCTACGAGCGCTCCACCCTGACAGTAGCACTAGGGCATCAGCCTGGCCCACTGCAGTCGTCACACTAAGTGGCAGGCAGTACTCTGGAGGGGACCCACTGTGTCTTCCAAGCGTTCTTAGAACTGGCTCTGCAATGCCCAGGGACCTCCACTACAAATGCCCTTTCTTACCTGAACAAGTAGGCAAGCCCAAGGGATACTGTTGTTCTTCTTGTCCATGGGTTCCTTGGCCAGTCCTTCCTGTTGATGGCATTTGGAAGCTGGGACCTGGTCCACAGGGTAAGAGATTGATCCCATTCTAAGGACCCCTGGCTATTTCCAAAAGAGTGCCGGAGGAGTTGTGCCCAGTTGGACAACAATTTCCAGCGGCAGACACACCTTTAATCCCAGCATCTGGGAGACAGAGGTGGGCAGATCTCTGTGAGTTCCAGGCCAGTCTGGTCTAGAGTGAGTTCCAGGACAACTATGGCTGTTAAACAGAGAAACCCTGTCTTGAAAAAACAAAACAAAAGAACAAAAGAAAGAAAGCAAGTCATCGTTCACACACACACACACACACACACACGCACGCACGCACACACGCACGCACACACGCACGCACACACGCGCACACACACACACACACACACGCATTTGTTTGCCTACTTTGATCAAAACTCACATTTGTGATCTTTATCAAGAGAGCCTCGGAAAGAATCACCGTGAGTCAGCACCCATTGCTGTGCGGTTATGGTCAGCATCAGGAACCGGCATTAAAGGTATGGTATTAAGAGACTGCAGAGACTAGACGATCTACGTTGTTTAGTATGAACATCCTTGGAAGAGCCAGATCACTGTGAGAAATATCAGCCTTGAAATCTGAGACTCATGAAGTCAGCCAGGAAGGGCCGGCTGGTCACAAAGAGCATGAAGAGATGGGTTCTGGGCTGTTCTGAGAGATCGTATCTGTGTGCTGTGGAGAGTCTTCATGTGCACTGACCCGCCCAACGGTAAACAACTGTGTGAGCGTTTCAGTCAGTTCAGTGTGGGTCAGCGGTATTTCGCAACGTGTTTTAAAGTCAAAGCGCTTTTGTTGACAAGGGCTCTTCAAAATGTTATTTGCCCAGGGCTTACACATCCCAGGGGAATTGTTGCCTTGGGCAGGGCAACATTTTATCCTGGTCTTAAGAAAATGGTCACTGGCCTCCCTTTGAATCATGACTCGGCAGCCTGTGCTCCTTGGCTGACAGGTCCCATACGCCAGGTGGACACGGGATTGACAAAGGATGTTGAATGGCTAGAAGGTCTGGACCAGTGGAGGGAAAGGCTCCAGGCTGAGAGAAAGAGGGAGTTGGTGAGGAAGGACATGCTGGTTGTCTGAGCTGTGAGACAGGGTGTGTCTTGGGGCTCCTCTGCTACCTCACCCTTGCCCCCTAAGTTGGTCACTGCATCTAGTTGATTCTGCCTTGTCTGAAGCTACACGTACCTGCTCACACACATAATGAGTATATAAAATGATAAGGGAGAATGGAATTGGCTCAAATGATTTTGGAAACGAGAAAGCCTTACCATAAACCCTCCGTATACAAGCTGGGGGCCATGGAGAACTGGAATGTCATTCAGTCCAAGTCCAAAGGCCCGAGAAGCAGAAACGCCAGCGTCTAAGGCAAGACTTGCTCTAGTTCAAGAAGGGAGAATTTGGCTTCCTTTTGCCTCTTGTTAGGGATTGGACCATACCTGTCCACACTGTGGCTGTGGGTCTTCTCAGTTACTGACTCAAGTGCTGGTCTCTTCTGGAAGCATACATGGCAGCTCATGGTCTCTAACTGAGTTCCCGCTTCTGGCATTGGAGATGGTACACAGAGATACAAATAAAACATCCATACATGTAAAATAAAATTAACACAAAAAGATAGAAGGCAGCCAATGGCTCAAAATGGTGACGTCAGCCACCTTCTCTGCACTTCCTCTTCTGCTTCCTGGGGGCATCTGCTTTCCATTCACTGAGCTGGTTGCTTTCGTGTGTGTGTGTGTGTGTGTGTGTGTGTGTGTGTGTGTGAGAGAGAGAGAGAGAGAGAGAGAGAGAGAGAGAGAGGGAGGGGGAGAGAATGCTTCTTTGAAAGCTCTGTGGCAGGCTGAGTTCTGGCTACATCATGAAGGGTATGGATTTCAGGACCTCTAGGGCTTCCTTCCCAGGCTTCTGTGTATAGTGTATTTTATTTTTTAAAAATGTCACAGTTAAGGATGGAACCCAGGGCTTCACACACGGTGGGTGAGCACTCTTCCCTTGAGTTGCATTACACCCTCCAATTTTTTATGGAATTAAAAACGATTTGTTTCTGTTTTATCTCTATGAGCATCTTGCCTGCAAGTATATGTGTGCACCATATGTGCTCACAGCAGCCAAAAGGAGATCTTGGATCTCCTGGAATTGGAGTGACAGACAGTTGCTAGCCACTATGTGGGTGCTGGGAACCAAAACTGGGTCCTCTGGAAGAGCAGCCAGTGCAGGTGCTGGAGAGGTGGCTCAGTGGTTAGGAGCACTTGTTGCTCCTGCAGAGGACTGGGGTTCAGGTGTTAGAACTCACGTGGTAGCTCACAACCATCCAGAACTCCAGTTCCACGGGAACTGATACCCTCTTCTGACCTCTTCAGGCAGTTGGCACATATGTGCACTCAAGTGATGTGGGGTACCTCTTTGTATTCTGTGAATATGTTTTATTACCATTGGTTAATAAATAAGCTGTCTTGGCCTATGCCAGGGCACAATATAGCTAGGCAGGAATTCCAAGCAGAGAGATAGGGAGAAAGAAGGCAGAGTCATGGAGATGCAGCAGTTGCTGAGGAAGCAAGATGTGAGGTAACAAGCAACGAGCCTTGTGGTAAAATATAGGAAAATAGGAATGGGCTCATTTGAGTTGTAAGAGCTAGTAAGAAATAAGACTGAGCTAACAGGTCAAACAGTCTGTAATTAATGTAAGTCTCTGAGTGGTTATTCAGGAACTGGAAGGCAGGAGAGAAACGTCCAGTTACAGACAAGCAAGACATACACATAAAAATAAAAGAAGAATAAAAAAGAGTAGCCAGTACTCTTAGCTGCTGAATCATCGTCCAGCCCTCTTTATGGATTTTGTTGTTGTTGTTGTTGTTTTATCTTAGGGACAAATCTTGGCTGACTGGGACCTCTCTATGGAAACAAGTCTGGCCTCAAACTCACAGAAATCTACCTGCCTTTGCTTCCTGAGTGCTGGGATTAAGGATACACACCACCATGTTTGGACTTTGTGGATTCTTAGTTTTTACATTTTGAAAGTATTGGACATTGAACCCATGACCCAGTACATACCTCCAATGTGTGTGTGTGTGTGTGTGTGTGTGTGTGTGTGTGTGTGTGAGAGAGAGAGAGAGAGAGAGAGAGAGAGAGAGAGAGAGAGAGAGAGAGAGAGGGGTATGTGATGTGTATGTGGTATGTGTGTGTGTGAGGGGGGGTATGTGATATGTATGTGGTGTGTGTGCCACGGCACATACGCACAAGTCAGAGGACAACTTTGTGGAGTTTTCTCTTCCATCTTTATGAAAGGTGGGTCAGGCTTGTGTGGCAAGTGACATGCCCTTTGAATCTCTGGTTCCTTTCTTCTTCCCCTTCTTCCCTTCTGCCCTACCCCTCCCTCTTTTCCCTCCCTTTGTCATTGCCTCTTTTCTCCCTTCTCCTCCTTTTTTTTCCTCCCTCATTCCTCTTCCTCCTCCCTTATCTCCTCTCCCTCCTTTTCTTCTTTTGAGGTGGTCTTGGGACTGCCTCAGATTGTTTATGTGGAGGAGGCTGGCTGTGAACTACTAGCCCTCCTGCTCCCGCCATCCCTGAATTACAGGTGCCTACTACTATATCCAGCACCAGGTGAAGTTTTAATTTTTGAAAACAAAACAAAGGGGTCAGGAAGGAGTGGGGATGAATGTCTGTGCTAAATCTACCAGCACCTACTACTAGAGTGGTCTCCTGAACCTGCGAGCCTGAACCAGGGCTGCTGTTAAAACACTCCCACAATTCACGCTGATAGTGGAGTACAAGACAGCCAGCTGCTACACAGCACGTGAGTTCTGTCTCAAGTCAGGGCTTACTCTAGACTAGACTGTATTTGATTTTATTAACCTTTTTCTTCTTTTTTCCCTCCCTTTCTTTTTCTTTTCTTTTTGAGACAGGGTCTCACTATGTAGCCCTGGCTTGCTGGACCTTACCATGTAGACCAGGCTAGCCTTGAACTCACAGAGATTCACCAGCTTCTCCCTCCTGAGTGCTGGGATTAGAAGTGTGTACCATCATAACTGGTCTGATTTTATTAATTTAATGAGACTTAAATTGAATGTAGAGATTCAGTTTAAGAGAATGTAGAGACAGGAAGGAGCAAAAGTTAATTTTGTCCTGCTAAATGCCAGTTCTGAAGCGGTGCCTGGCAGGACCCTGCACCTGTTCCAGCCGACCCTTGCTCAGTGGGCACCGGGATCCCCGAGACAGCGAGGCCGGTGAGAGCTTAGGGATGATACAGAGTTTGTGTTCACCCGTGCATTCCGCAGCCTTGAGCCGCTGCTGGGAATTTCCAGTTTACACGGCATAAGAGGGAGACCGTCTTCGGTGTCCTTTCTGGGGCATAAACTATTGCTGGTGATGAAACTCGCTCACTACTAAATCGTATCGGACACACAAATGACTGATGGGCGTGGTCGATCGGTAGTTAAAAATTAACCAGACTAGCTTAATAGAAAATATTTAGCTTTAATAAACAGAAAAAAGGAAAACTTACAAAACCAGGGTTCCAGCGATCCAGGAACGCAGGGGGCAAAGAGAAAGAGGCAAGTGCACTGGGTTGTTTTGTTTTGTGTGGCCCCAGGGGGACACACCCTAAGCAGAATGTGATTGGCTGAAGTTCCCCATCAAATGGCTGCCTGGTTTACCCTGTTAGAACTAAGCCAAAGGGATGGACTTTCCTCGTAGGTATTAGAGACGGTGTATATCAGAGGGGGAGTTGGCAGGGCCACCCCAAAAAGTACAGGGATTGGCATTTACTGTCTGCTACTTTGTGGATAACATGGAAAGAATCATTTCAAGCAAGTGGAGTTCTTTTTAATGAACTTTGTTCAAAGAATAGTTTGCCTATTGTTCAAAGAATAGTTTGGTGACAGGCACGAGAGCTCTTCCTGCGTGCTTGCAGTGCGCTCGCCTCGCTTCCTGGAACACATTCCTCGTCCCGTCCCCCCCCCCC